AATACAGATTTTTGCAGCTTCTCATCAGCAGGCAGTCCTTGGGAGAACTATTTTTCACTAGGCTTTTGAAGTAACCTTCTATTTCCTAAACATCACCAGTAATTAACTACATGGATTAACATAAGGTAATTATCCATAAAGAAGTTCATAGACAGTTTACCACAAACTCTAAAGAGACATGCAATGACATTATTACACCCAAGTTTCATCTAAATGTTATTATTCCCTTTTGAGCTCTGAATTAACAGAATACAGCCCGAGACAGGAACTGTTTGGTTCCATTGGTAACCTCTAACAAGATAAAGGCAAACATAGACTACTACAAGTATCAGAGGGGTCACCGTTTTAATCTGGATCTGTAAAAAGTGACAAAGAGTCCTGTGGCACCTTAAACACTAAGAGAAGTATTGGAGAACCTTAAAGACTAACAGAAGTATTGGAGAATGATTTCAACAGTTTCCACCCCACCATCAACCTCAGCCTGGACCAATTTACAAGGGAGATCCACTTCCTAGACACCACGGTACAAATAAGTGACAGTTACGTTAACACCATCCCACCCCACCGACCGCTATGCCTACCTTCATGCCTCCAACTTTCATCCCGGACACACCACATGATCCATCATCTACAGACAAGCGCTGAGCTATAACCGCATTTGCTCCAACCCATCAGACACAGACCAACACCTACAAGATCTTCACCAAGCATTCTCAAAACTACGATACCAGCACGAGGAAATAAAGAAACAAATCAACAGAGCCAGAGGTGTACCCAGAAGCCTCCTGCTGCAAGACAAGCCCAAGAAAGAAACCAACAGAACTCCACTGGCCATCACCTACAATCCTCATCTAAAACCTCTCCAATGCATCATCATCTACAACTCATCCTGTACAAAGATCCATCACTTTCACAGGCCTTAGGAGACAGGCCAGTCCTCGCCCACAAACAAACCACCAACCTTAAGCATATTCTCACCAACAACCACACACCGCACCATGGTAACTCTAACTCAGGAACCAATCCATGCAACAAACCTCAATGCCAACTCTCCCCACATATTTATACCAGCGATACCATCATAGGACCTAATCACATCAGCCACAACATCACCGGTTCATTCACTTGTACGTTCACCAATGTAACATACACCGTCGTGTGCCAGCAATGCCCCCCTGCTATGTACATCGGCCAAACTGGACAATCCCTACGTAAAAGAATAAATGGACACAAGTCAGATATTAGAAATGGCAATATACAAAAACCTGTAGGAGAACATTTCAACCTCCCTGGACACACAATAGCAAATTTAAAGGGGATCCTGAATCAAAAAAACTTCAGGACCAGACTCCAAAGACTGAACTTCAGTTCATTTGCAAATTTGACATAATGACCTCAGGATTAAACAAAGACTGTGAATGACTAGGCAACTACAAAAGCAGTTTCTCCTCCCTTGGTTTTCACACCTCAACTGCTGGAAGATGGCCTCATCCTCCCTGATTGAACTAACCTCGTTATCTCTAGGCAGATTCTTGCCTGCATATTTATACCTGCCCCTAGAAATTTCCACCACATGCGTCTGACAAAGTGGGCATTCACCCACAAAAGCTTATGCTCCAATACGTCTGTTAGTCTATAAGGTGCCACAGGACTCTTTGTTGCTTTTTATAGACTACTACAGTTACCATCTTCTTCCAGGTCTTTAACAGAAGTTTCCATTTCAAAGCTCAAACTTATCTAACTTGGACACACTTTTTTAACATGTCTCTAAAGGTTGAACTGGGTCTATTATATGCAAGTTGCTTAACCCTTTCTCTCCCAGTGTCACAGAAGTTTAGCTCCTGTGTGGATTGCTTGATGTTTAGAAAGGGCTGATCTGTTCCTGAAACTTTTCCCACAGTCTAAGCACTTGTGGGATCTCTCTCCTGTGTGGATTGCCTGATGTCTAATAAGGTGTGACCTCTCTATGAAACTTTTCCCACAGTCCAAGCACTTGTGGCGTCTCTCTCCTGTGTGGATTGCCTGATGTTTAACAAGGTCTGACCTCCATATGAATTTTTTCCCACAGTTCAAACACTTGTGGCGTCTCTCTCCTGTGTGGACTGCTTGATGATTAATACGGGCTGATCTGGTTATGAACGTTTTCCCACAGTCCAAGCACTTATGGGGTCTCTCTCCTGTATGGATTGCCTGATGTTTAACAAGGTCCGACTTCTGTATGAAACTTTTCCCACAGTCCAAGCACTTGTGGGGTCTCTCTCCTGTGTGGATTGCCTGATGTTTAACAAGGTCTGACCTCCGTATGAATTTTTTCCCACAGTCCAAGCACTTGTGGGGTCTCTCTCCTGTGTGGATTGCTTGATGTTTAACAAGGTCTGACCTCCGAATGAATTTTT